CCGGCAGCTCACTGGCTGAGCGAGGTGCGGGTGCAACACCGATGGTTGCGATACCGTTGCCGGTCCCGGTCCGGTACGGGCGCGACACTGAGGGTTGCGATCCGTTGCCAGTCACGAAAAAAGACAAAAAGGAAAAAAAAAAAAAAAAACGAAACTGAAAAACAGTGACCATAAAAGCATGCACTCAATAAGTATATTACATACACATAAGACAGTTAAAGGCCTTTATTTCTACTTCTACAATTAAGAGTTAAACATTAAAATACTAAAACATACAGCTTCCTTCTCAAATCTCATAACCAAGGAGATAATGTTTAAATTGATGTACCTTCCACGGTGATGTCACTAACCAATGACACAAGTCATCATATCAAACCCAAGATAGTGCAGAATTTTCAAAGCAGCAGTTATATGTCCACTGTACCAAACCAAGAAGCATATGAAACATTCTAAGGAAGACTTTTCTAAAAATTAAAACAAAAAGGTGTAAGAGTTTTAAACCAAGCATATAATCAGTCAACCAAAAAAATTAACCAAAAAAAATCTTCTCTAACATGTCTCATTTAGCAATATACAGTTTACTGTCATGTACAATGACAAACACAATTTGCCAAAAATTCAACAAACATAGAAAAGTCAATCATTCCGCTGACGCTAATATGTGCCAAGGACCTACAATGGATCATTGTTTTCTCCTCTTGGAAGTAGGAAAGAAGTAAAAACACAAATTCTTGGTGAAGAGATTCTAATTTTCACAGAACCATCCACTAGTAGTTTAAGCAACACTGTTTAAAAACAACTCATTCCAACAGTCACCTCTACTAAATATTTTCATCATGGCTGCCTAGACTCAATCTAGCCCACTATATCTCTTGCAAAGGAGTGAAATACAGACAGGCTACTGGGAGGAGAGGAGGGCAGGGGAAGCAGAGGTGAAATTCACCAGCTGTGTTAAGTTCCTGAAGAGTTAACTAACTTCTCATTCTAGGACTCAACAATTATCAATGTGGTTATGAGATTTGGTAGATACTATTAGAACACAAAGAAGCTTCTCAGCATCCAAAGAACAACTTCCTTTTTCTCTCCTTTTTTAATTAAAGCAATGCCTCCACTCTCACTGGCCAATTGCTGAAAACCTTGAAAATACAGAGAAAGTCAACAAACACCTGGCTAAATAAATACCAGCCATAACAGTCAATCTAGGCTGGTCTGATGGTAGCGAGTTATCAGAACTCATTAACATTAGTATCACTAAAGTTGGTATACAACCCTGCACTGCTAAATTTGACTGGCTAAGGGGGAAAAAAAAAGTCAATCTGGTGATCATGCTCACCAAGAACTTTAAAGTATTTATACACTCTACTGGTGGTTTTAATTTCAATACAATTTCACTGTGTAAACAGAATATTTATTTGACAGTACTTCCAGTGCCCAAATTTTCCTTACTTTAATATAATCTGATGCATTAAAATCCAACTTTTTAAAGCATTATGTAGTTGTCTTAACTGCAAGAGGATTCAATTGTTCTCAAAAAGTTTCCTAAAATGATGTCTTGGCTTGGCTATACTTACGTACTTCATACCCTTCCAATCAACAAACCATTATGTGAGAAGAATGCTCAGAACTAAGTAGTAAATGAATGGACTAAGAGGTTTTTCAAGTCACTAGATCATCCCACAGAATAAGAAAAGTTCTCTGGGCCGACCCCGTGGCTCACTCAGGAGAGTGCAGCGCTGGTAGCACCAAGGCCGCGGGTTCGGATCCTATATAGGGATGGCCGGTGCGCTCACTGGACCCCGTGGCTCACTCAGGAGAGTGCAGCGCTGGTAGCACCAAGGCCGCGGGTTCGGATCCTACATAGGGATGGCCGGTGCGCTCACTGGCTGAGCGAGGTGCGGACCCCACCGTGCTGAAGGTTGTGATCTCCTTACCGGTCAGGGAAAAAAAAAAAAAAGAAAAGTCCTCTATTAGATATTTTAATTTCCCTGGATTGGAACACTTACCCACATTACCAAAACTCAGAAATGTTTTCAATGTAATATATACTGAGAACAATAAGCTAACAGATTTTAGGTTTTGGTTAAATACACAAAATAAGCACATGCAATTTAAAATGCTTCAACTACGGTGTTTATTACAACTTTAAGCACAAAACAGTTAACGTTAACTAAGATATTTTTAAAGCAGTAGTTTATATATACAGCAAAGTCAGTAGAGATTAGGGCTGGCCGGTTAGCTCTTTTGGTTAGAGCACAGTGTCAAAACACCAAGGTCAAGGGCTCGGATCCCCACACGGGCCGGCTGCCCCCCCAAAAAAAAAAAGTCAATAGTTATGGATAATGCCATGGATACTGGCAAGCTAATTTAAGTTAATAATCCATTTTTTAAAAGATAGCTATGTTACAGAAGTAGAAAGCCTCTGAAATATATTTGCTTCAAAGCTGAATATAGAAGTGGACTCAAGCACAGTGAAGTAACAAATAATAGAACTAGATATACAAGAAAGAAGTTCAGCAAAAATTATCCAGACTTTTTCCCTCAAAAGAGAAACAAAGTTTCATTTCAGATACAAAATGTTATCCATGTGGATAATATAAACATACTTGAGAAACCAGGAATTTACTGCTTAAAAGCATAGCTGTCTCAACAACCAAATTCTTCAGAGAAAATCTTAGTCACCTTTTTACTACAGGCAAGGAAAAACCAATTTTTCCAACATAACCACCCATTTCAGTCTTCTCTACTAGTCACCTATCCTGCCCCTTTTCCAACTTCTCATGTTCCCTCTCTCACAAGTCATAAAGTAGATTTATTTATCTTTAAATATATTATACTTCCTTATTTAAGTACACAGATACAGGATTGGGAGGGAAGAACAAGAGTGAAGCACCTCTGGCTCCATCATGCTAATTTGGAGTGCCACCCATAAAGAATTTAACGTATGGGGCCGGCCCAGTGGCACACTGCTACAGTGCGCCGCTTGAGAGCGCAGCTGCGCTCCCGCCAAGGGTTCGGATCCCACATACAGACCGGCTGCTCACTGGCTGAGCGAGGCGCGGGTGCAACACCGAGGGTTGCGATCCCGTTGCCGGTCCCGGTCCGGTACGGGCGCGACACTGAGGGTTGCGATCCATTGCCGGTCATGAAAAAAGACAAAAAAGGAAAAAAAAAAAAGAATTTAACGTAGAATTTTCTCAAACCAATAGATTCGGAAAAACGAGTATGAATTTACTCAAATGCATCAATAAATTTACCTTAGCTGAGAGAAAATAAAACACAAACCTGATAAAGATGGGCTCTTTTAAGAAGGGAATCAAGTTGTGAAAGTGGATTGTGCTTGGAGGAAACATTAAATATTGTGAAGCATTTTCTAATTATTAGTCCTTAAAATGTAAGAAAATCTATCAAGTGTTAAAATTGAAGACTGAATACACTCTCCAATAAAAGTTAAATTAAAAGCAACTATACCTTGCTCCAGATAAGGCTTAGACCCCAGTGTGTGGGGTGGCGTAGGGTGGGCCCCCCTAACTTTATCCCCTGCTTTGTTTCTCACTGGCTATCAGGCAGCAAGAAAGTTACCTTCCTACACCTCCTCTACCCCAAAAATGGGGATATTAAAATAGCAGTACTCAGGTAGCCGGTTAGCTCAGTTGTTAGAGCATGGTGTTATAACACCAAGGTCAAGAATTCAAATCCCCATACCAGACAGCAACCAAAAAAATAAAAGTTAGGGCCGGCCCGTGGCTCACTCAGGAGAGTGTGGTGCTGATAATACCAAGGCCGCGGGATCGGATCCCATATAGGGATGGCCAGTTAGCTCAATGGGTGAGTGTGGTGCTGACAACACCAAGTCAAGGGTTAAGATCCCCTTACCAGTCATCTTTAAAAAATAAATAAATAAAATAAATAAATAAAAGTTAAATAAATACATAAGTAAAAAGCAACTATAAATTCCAGCAAAGTTAATTACATCAACTAAATATCTGTCCCCACTTACTAGAGACAATAAAATCCAAAGAGTCAAGCCATTAAAATTTACCAAAGTGTCCAATATATAATTTCAAAAGAAATCTAATTGTTCACTCTGAAAGTAGTACTGGTACAATTTTATAAAGAGGATGTCTCCTAGTTTGTTTTTTTTAAATAAGACTTAAAAAGGAAATTAGCGCCTTTTAGCCTACAGCAACACAATACCATAGCAGAAATACCCTCTATTTTTTTACTAGCAGGTAGATGCAGACACTTACCTAAAATTAGGGGGAAAAATGGAATCTAAGCACTTATACTCAAAGAATCCTATTCTCTCCATAATGGGGATTCACAAAGTCTTTCGTCCTTGTCCCAACATTTCTCAAAATTAACATTGTACGTGGGTTCTACTCACAAGGGTACATGACGCTGTTCAGGATCAGCTCTGGTCAATTCTTCCTCTTCAATATCAGACTCCCCTCCTGAACTACTGTCAGTGACATCTGAATCAAATGCTTGTTCGCTGCACCTCAAGTTGGCAATGCCACTAGCTGTAAATCTCTCCAATTCTTCTGAAATCGAATCACTTTTCAAGAAGTTGCTAAGGCCCTCTGAAGTGGTGGTCTCATTGGCAGCTTTCCTCAAGGCAGCTTCAGCCTTTCGAGTCAGCATCAACTGGCTCCGGGGTCTCAAGGATTCCAAGTTTGGCAGTTTGCTCAAAGTCTTCTCCAAAAATCCACCCAGCTGATGCTGTATATGCCTCTCCACCTGCTTGGCTTGCACTACCTGTAAGCGCTTCTGTAACCTGCGGGCACGGCTCTCAATATCAGCCTGCCGCCGCAGTAAAGCTGTTATTCTTGTGTCAGAATCTAAAGCACTGAAAAGAATGGAAGACAGGGGAGACTTTTTACCCTCTAACTTGACACCCCCCAAATTAGAGCTGGAGTCTATACCAGGTGATAACCTACTGCTACCCTGAAGTGCTGGCTGTTCCATGGAATTGATAGAAGATTTGTTTGCAGTGCTATTATTGCTATATATAATCGTGTGTTCTACATCAAGGCTTCTATGTGGAAGAGTGCAATTGGTCATACCCCCCTTCAAGTCCCCAGATTCAGATCCCCCCACTTCACCACCCTGAAGAGCAGATGAAATGGGAGCTCGTTTTCCCCCATTGAGGGAACTGGAATTGTCATGATCAGAATGTGTTGAACTTTTAGTCAATTTCTTAGCTAACCCATTTACAGGTGCTTGTGGCAGAGCTGTCTGACCACTAGTATTCATGGTTCTAAGATTTTCTAAGGAAAACTCCAACACTGGCTGTCTCCCCAACAGCTCAGCTCGGAGTTCATAGGACTGAGACAAGAGAGAATGAGATTTAAGGACTGTCTGCTTGCTGAAGACCCCTTGCAATTTCAAAGATTCCTTTGAGGGAACAGGTGTTACATCAGAGCAGAGATAAGAAGCCACCAGTGGTTGCAGCTTTCCCAAGTCTTCCTTGGTAGGATTATTTCGGAAGTCTAGACTGGGATCCTCTGCAGCAATGGCTTTTCTTTTGGTTCCGTTGGCAGCAATAAGGATGTTGGCGTTGCCGTTATTTTCGGCACTGCCAGGGGACAAGGTGGATGATGGGGGAGCCAGTTTGAACCGGATGTGGTGTGCTTCAGCTGCTGCATCGGTGAGAGCGGGCGCCATCGCAGCCATTCAGCACAGAGAGACAGGAAGTCCAGCCTCTCCCGGTGCCGAGGCCAGGTCCACAGCCCCTTGCTGCCTCCCCAGAGAACAGACTAGAAGAGAGAGAAGAAAAGGAAGTTAGAATTACAAACACATTCAAAAACAACACACATTTTTAATACAAGCATTAGTTGAGGATGTTGTCCCAACTCTGTCTCCAGAAACAAAACACTATGGAACCATTCTGGAGACCCCAACGTCTTTCACCAAAGAAAGGGGTGGGGGGAGTGCACAACCCCTGCAAAACAGAAAGAATAATTCCACCCTTCTTTTATGTCATTTGTGACCACAGACTGAAAGGTGCCAAAACAGAAGTTCCATTCCCAGAGAATCACAGATTGTTAAAGTTAAATCACCTGCATTTAAAAGAAAACTTTTTTTCCTCCCCCTTCCTTTTTGTCTTTTTTACTGACCGGTAACGGGATCGCAACCCTCGGTGTCGCGTCCATAAATTAGCAGATGGTACCTGAAAAATCAATGAAGTGAACCTGTCACTTCAAATATTTTTGGTCAGTGATAAAATCTGAGTTTTCAAGCAAAACTCAGTATTTTGAAAACTTGCATCCACCATCATGAGCTTGAACATTTCCCAATACTTAAAATGCTGTTTCTCATAAAACAGATTAGTGGGATATTAATAAATGTGAATTTTTGATACCATAGAATGTAATGTGTCAACATTTGGAAAATCGGCATAACCCAGTGAATGACCAAATGACCACTGCATGTTAGAAAAATCACACATGGGTAAAAATAAGTGCACGACTAATGGATTTTAACATAACAGAGTAGGAAAAGTTAATTGATCTGGTTTTATATTACACATTGCATCTAACCTTTATGAAACTAGTACTTGTTGAATTTGGGTATAGATAAATGTGGATAGATATCCACACATCTAAAAAGACTACTAAGGGCCGGCCCGTGGCTCACTCGGGAGAGCACGGTGCAGCCCGTGGCTCACTCGGGAGAGCGCGGTGCTGATGACACCAGGGCCACAGGTTCAGATCCCATATAGGGATGGCCAGTTAGCTCACTGGGTGAGCGTGGTGCTGGGCCCGTGGCTCACTCGGGAGAGCACGGTGCTGATGACACCAGGGCCACGGGTTCAGATCCCATATAGGGATGGCCAGTTAGCTCACTGGGTGAGCGTGGTGCTGACAACACCAAGTCAAAGGTTAAGATCCCCTTACCGGTCATCTTAAAAAAAAAAAAGACTACTAAAATATACCTCTCTTTTCCAAACTACATGTCAATGTGAGGCCAGATTTTCTTTATATACATCAACCAAAAAACTTATCAGTAGAATGAATGCAAAAGCAGATATGAGAACCCAGCTATTTTCTAAGTCAGACATTAAAAGATTTGCAAAAAATGTAAAAATAACATTAAATTTTTTTGTTTTAGTTAAAAGTTATTTTTCATATGTAATGAGTTTTGGTTTTTAGGTTTTTTTTTTATTTTGTGGCACTGGCCAGTACAAGGACCCGAACCCTTGATCTTAGCTACATTCTCACCAGCTGAGCTAACCAGCCAGCTGGTAATGGGTTTATTTTTTAAAAATAACTATTTACTAATTCATTCAAATTTCTCAAAGTTTCTAATTGATAGATTAACAGACAGCAACTACTGACAGATAATAACTCCCAAAAGCTCTTTGTGGTTCTCAATTTTTAAGAGTGAAAAAGGGGTCCTGAGACCAAAAAGTCATGAAGTCACTGAACAATCCCCCTGTTCCCCCCAAAAAGAGGGCCATCTTCAATTTTGTCAAACATTTTTATTTTTAGATCAATACCAACATAGGATGGGAGGCCCTACAGGACTATGCTAAGCTTCTTTGTAGTATTACAATGCAAATCAGTATGAAAATACTTAAATAATATTAAATATTTGAGAAAACATTATTTATAGAAGTACCAATACGCATACCAGTCAAATCTGTTTATTGCCCCATATAAATAAAAAATATAATAGGGTAGAAAAGTTTATTCTAGGGTTAAATTTTAAAGAACATTCTATAAAAGAACAAGATTTTCAGAGCTTACAGAGTTTTACCATTATGGACTTCCTGGCATTCTGTGTTACACAAAGTGTTCTATGTTAACTTTTCCCATTTCTAATTTTAAATTTAATAATAATTTCTAATCTAGTATAAACAGTTGTGTTAAAGACAAATTGACAACTGAACCAATGAAAGTTATTTGTTTCAAATACTTTGAGTCAGTTATATAACATGCAAAGTATTTTCCCATAAGCAAACAAAAATCAATATCAGATCTTTCCCATCAGTTCAACCTCCTCCTCCTTTCAAATAATATCAATACATAGTTGACATTAGCAATGAAAGGAGGCACATTATCAGTACCAAATAATTAAAGCAACACATAAAAAACAGTAGATGTACCCTACTGCCCAAGAGCATTACCATAAGCCCTCAGCAATGGCAGGGAAACAGCTTCCCTTCTAGGGACCCAGGGAAGGACAAAAATATTACACAACTTACACAAAACTTAGGAAAGCCCAGGCTCACCCCAGCACACATAAAAAGACGGTGATAACTAATGTAACAACACTGAAAGTACTTAATAGTAAACTTTCCAAAGTTATTCTAGAATAATTCGAGTCTTTAAAGTTCACACTTAAGGGCTGGCCCATGGCTCACTTGGAGAGTGTGGTGCTGACAACACCAAGTCAAGGGTTAAGATCCCCTTACCGGTCATCTTTTAAAAAAATAAAGAAAGAAAAATATGGGGCTCAAATCCCATCTCTTCCAAGAAGACTTCTCTGGCCACAGTCCTCTGAAATTATGTCTATGAATTTGACATTAATCATATACTCGTACATCTCAAAGGCAAGAGTTTATTTTATTCACACACTCTTCTTGGTCTCAATATCCCCCATAGGATGCACTGCAAAGAATAGTTATTAAAACAGTCATCTAAATAAGTGGGGTTAAGGGGGTGAAATGACCACTTACTTCTTCAGAAGAAATTCTCATTCCTAACTCCTAAATCTTTACATTTCCATACCAAACAATACTACTGTTAAAAAAATTAGCTCTATATGCCTCTCCTTTTATTGACTCAAAATGCTACGCTGAATTTAACATTACTCACAAAGGCATTCATAGGTAAGGGGAGCACTGGCTCAAGTGAGCAGGTCTAGGTTCACATCCTGGCTTCACCTCTTCTAAATTACTTAACTATCCTGTTCCCTCAGTTTCCTTATCTGCAAGAACAGAGCCTACCTCACAAGGCTGCTGTGATTATTTAAAATATTTTCAGGGCCGAGCCCGTGGCACACTTGGGAGAGTGCGGCGCTGGGAGCGCAGCAGCGCTCTCGCCACGGGTTCGGATCCTATATAGGGATGACCAGTGTGCTCACAGCGCCCACTGGCTGAGCGCGGTGCAGCTGGTCTCAAAAAGGACAAAAAAAAAAATTTCAATTACTTAGCCTTGTGCATGGCACAAACACCCATTATTACTAGCACCATAATTATAATCAGGAGACAAAAAGCTAATGTAGAAGAAATAAATTTTATAAAACTTTTTAATGCACAGAAAAAATGTAAAGCAAATGATTCTCTAAAATGTCCTTGTACTTGGATTTGTGCACATAGAAAAAAGAAAACACATACCAAAAAAATGGATATGGCACCTAGTTTGCACTATTAGCTACAATTACCATAAACCATCACCTAAGTTTACTTAGGACTTGTTTATTCATTTGTTGGTTTTGACTATTTTCCCTATATATCTAGACTTACTTTTATCATTTCATGATGTTGCTTATAATAAAAAGAAAACTAAATGCCCAACAATTCAGTTAAATTATGAACTATCTATACAAAGGAATAACATAAACCCATAAAAATAGTGTGGCAGAGCTATACTACTAACATGAAAAAGTGCTTGCTTCACTGTTAAATGAAAAAAAGTGATACAAAACAAAACATATACTATGACCTCATTTACTTTGAAAAAGTAGGTGGTAAGGGCCGAGCCCGTGGCGCACTCGGGAGAGTGCGGTGCTGGGAGCGCAGTGCCGCAGGTTCGGATCCTATATAGGGATGACCGGTGCACTCACAGCGCTCACTGGCTGAGCGCGGTGCGGCCGGTCTCAAAAAGCACAAAAAAAAAAAAAGAAAGAAAAAGTAGGTGGTAAGATTCTTTTGTCTGGTTTATATGTCTCCACCATAAACATGTATTACTTGTATAATAAAAGAGAAAGAAGCAAAAAGAAAATAATGGAAATTCATAAAAAGCCAAAAAAATCCAAGCAAAGCAAAACATCATAGTAACTTTCTTAAATTTAACATACTCAGCAAAATGTTGATTAAAACAATGATTCCCATCCCACTTGACTCCTATAAATTCCAAAAGCTTCACTCCTCAACAACTTAAAGCAAAGACTGTCAAACTCACAGTTTTACAAAAACAGCACAAGAGCTTATGATAAATCACCTTTCTCCAAAGAATACAAAGCATTAAAAGCTATAATTAACTAATTAATCCTAATAACAACCTGGGCAGTATATTTAGGAATGGGACTTTAATTTCCAATTTACTGGTGGGGTAATAAAATCATATTGTATGTTCAGAATAAAGAATTCAAGCCCAAAATATCCCAATTTTTAGCTCATCTAGTAAGCCACAATCTGACAAATAAATACAGATGGAGCTACTGTACCCGCTGTCACTGACATAAATTAAGATTCTGCAATAAGCTTGTAGAGACAAAAGAAAAGAGCCATCTAATCAAGGTCCTTCTGCTACAAAAGGTTGAGCTAGGTAATTACTTGTTTCTCTCCCAGTTCCAAGGAAGCATTTTAGGAACTGGAAAATGTTAAATGCACTCAACCACCAAATGTATTTGGCAAAAACCTACCTGATAAAGAATCACAATGCACTTTATCATACTGAATACTCAAAATGTTTCCCTTTACCAAACTCATTTAACAAATAAGTAGTTTTTTCCATTACATC